AAAAAGCACCAGAGTGCCTTCTAAATGAGGCATAATAGATTTGAGAGTGACATAAACATGTTGAAGCTATGTATGCAGCCTGACGGGAACATTGCTTCTAGCAACTCCTGTGTTGCATTAGTGATGATCATTCCAGGGGGCACACACACACACACACACACACACACACACACACACACACACACACACACACACACACACACACACACACACACACACACACACACACACAGACACACACACAATCTTCAGAGCGTTCTCCTGAGTCGCGGCCAGACCCCGGAAAAGCCCTCGGAAACAACAGGCCATGTGCACACGGGTGAGTGCTCCGACACACAGCTTCACACTGTTATTCATAACACTCACCAATCTACCCTTCAACCCCTCAGAAGAAAAAAAAATATGGGTCATTCTGGTTCTAAAAATGGCTGCCTGTCCCCGAGGCTCACCAGGGCATGAAATGGACTTTACATTACTTTTGCCGAGCCACAACAGCCAGGAAACTTTACTTTTTTTCTTCATTTTTCACCCCATTTTATTATAGCTGCAATCAAACATAAGGATGTTCTCTCAAATGCCTCTTCTATCTTTCAGCGGATGACCTGAATAAGATATCAGCAGCGTTCCGGGTTTGTGATTTGACAGCCGAGGCTAAAGTTGTGTAGAGATATAGATAGTATGGCTGCTGAACGCTAAATAACACTGCACTTCTGCATCGCAGGGTTCCACCTGTGCTGATAATCCGGAACTTCAGGGTAGATTTTGGAATGCTGTGGATTTGTGAAAAGCTCACCGTATACCAGTTTTGTACTCTACCTATAGGGTAAAAGCAGAAATACTGCGAGTTGCTCCTCCTGCTTCCCAGTTTTGACAACTTCAGACTGGAATTTGTGGAAGCAAGCTCACTTGTAGCAAAATGGAAAGTGCTGTGAGAATTTATAACGTTCCATTTCCTGTAATTACCAGATGCTTTCCCTCTCACGCACACAAAATATTGTTTCATTTTCTTTCTTTTTCCTCCAACAGTTCCAAATTCTCCCTCCTCAATGCAGAACTCCCCAGTGCCTGGAACTGGCCTCATGTTTATTTAAACCTGTTTATTAAAGTCGAGCGCCGCTGCCCCGTTCATTTCTCTGCCGTGTTTTCTTCCAACCAACCAAAACTCAGAGCCATTCATCAGTCTGGGCCAAGCGTGGCTAGCTACGGCGCATGAGCCCTAGCGGCGCGTCACCACGAGTGTGTGACATGGACTCAACCAGCGGGCGTATCAAAGAAAGGCACAATTACAGACAGGGAGATGGAACGAGGTGGAAAAATGACTGTGGAGAGGAAAAGCAGAAGAGAATGTGGAGTAGTGTCGATGATGGAGCTTCTAATTTTGGTTCTGGGTGAAGCAGAGCTGCCCTGCAGGCTTTTGTGCAACAAGCATCAACTAAAACTTAAATGTTTCAGATTAGCAAACACATTTAGGATTGGATAAAGAAATTCTGTGTACTTACAAAATGCAGTTTTCAAATGACGCTTTATCCTAGGAAAAACAACCTCGGCCCCTATGTGGCATTACAGGTGAAACACAAAAAATGAGAATATGGTGCAAAAGTCCATTTTATGTCAGTGTAGACGGTAAATATTGTTGCTTTTTAGCTTAATATATTACCTTTACTTATGACCAACAAGCTGTGATACACTATATGAATATAGAACATCAACCTGCTTGGTCTTTGAATGTTTAATCAGAAGATTTAGAATTCTTTGTTTATTCAGGGATTGTACAACACTTCGTCTTGATTCAAGGAAAGAGTCAGGTTTATAAAAAGTAAGAATTTATTTTCCAAACAATTAAAAACATTACAAGTTATTTAAGACTGCTGTGATGGAAGGATCTAGGTGGATGTGATGTGATGTATGGTGACTATGTGTGAATGTGAGGTTATCAGAACCTTTGTATCTAAAAGAACTGAGCTCTGGGTGTGAAAAAGGAAAAAATTTGGTTTGCATTTACTAGGAAGTTGATTCTTATCAAAGCCACATCGTACGCGATTCATGTTGTGTCTACCTCACCCTTTTGGAAGACCATCTTCACGGAGGTCAGGAAGGTCGGATGACCTCGGGGCACCGAGATTTGTAGAATAACCGCAGCACCAGCTCTCCAGTCCAGAGAAGTTTGCGAGTCACAACAGATAGATGGAATCGTTTGCGTCTAGAAGGACTCTTAGGGAGTCGGAACTGTATCAGCTTTGTTCTGCAGGAACCGTTTGCTGTGTCAGCTTCAGCGTGTAGCAAGGTTTTTGACAGCTTGTCAAAAATGCTCTGGGTTAAAGAGGGGTCGCTCCGGATGGCCTTTCCGTAGCTTTCTGTGGAACTGACTCACCGTCAAGTGAGCTGTTTTAATATTCTCATATTATGATTTCTTGGCCAACCAGGACGTGCCATGTTAAGGGGTGTTAACAAGCAAACCTCAGAACATCGCGCCTTGCGTCAGATACAGAACAGAAAGCAATGTGTCAGGATATTAGTTTAACCTTGTCATTGTCACATGTCTGAGTGTATGAGCTGTCAGAAAATGGTGATTCACTTATTAAACCAATATTACTGATCATAATGTCAAAAATGTTTCATTTCAACCACAATAGTTTAAGCACAGCTTAATCAAAACATTTCATTAGAATTCATATAACATTTGGTAATTTAATCATATTATTTAATGATTATTTAACTTATGAGTTGTAAAAGTGTTTTTTTTCATGAGAGTGAGCAATCCTGCGGTGTTATCAAAAGAAGGCTTTGATTGGGAACACAGGCTGATATCTTGTTCCTCCTGAAATGTCAAAAAGGTTTACAGAACCTTGTTGCTTGTTGGAAGGTAGAATGTAAAATCCACCTTAGAGAATGGAATTTATGTCTGCAGATGACCGGTGGCATGTAGGTCAATCTGTAGGTGAAAACTGACCATTGCTGGACATTACATCAGTAAGTTAACTTAGACTGAGAAACCATCTAAAGGCTCAGGAACCATTTGCAAGTGTTTTGGATTAATTAGCTGTTTAGGGTGTGACTCTGAGTCTAGAATATTGAACCTTTTCACAATATAATTGTCTGAGATTTTGAACCTGGGATTTTTACAAGCATCAAGCATAACAAGTTAAGTTTCAAAATACATATATTTGCATATAAATAGGCTCTCGTACACTCACCTAAAGGATTATTAGGAACACCATACTAATACGGTGTTTGACCCCCTTTTGCCTTCAGAACTTCCTTAATTCTACGTGGCTTTGATTCAACAAGGTTCTGAAAGCATTCTTTAGAAATGTTGGCCCATATTGATAGGATAGTATCTTGCAGTTGATGGAGATTTGTGGGATGCACATCCAGGGCACGAAGCTCCCGTTCCACCACATCCCAAAGATGCTCCATCGGGTTGAGATCTGGTGACTGTGGGGGCTGTTGTAGTACAGTGAACTCATTGTCATGTTCAAGAAACCAGTTAGAAATGATTGGAGCTTTATGAAATGGTGCATTATCCTGCTGGAAGCAGCCATCAGAGGATGGGTACATGGTGGTCATGAAGGGATGGACATAGTCAGAAACAATGCTCAGGTAGCCTGTGGCATTTAAACCATGCTCAATTGGCACCAAGGGGCCTAAAGTGTGCCACAAAAACATTCCCCACACCATTGGATCCATGTTCATTCTGTTTACGCCAAATTCTGACTTTACCATTTGAATGTCTCAACAGAAATCGAGACTCATCAGACCAGGCAACATTTTTCCAGTCTTCAACTGTCCAAGTTTGGTGAGCTCGTGCAAATTGTAGCCTCTTTTTCCTATTTGTAGGGGAGAGGAGTGTTATCCGGTGGGGTCTTCTGCTGTTGTGGCCCATCCGCCTTAAGGTTATGTGTTGTGGCTTCACAATAGATTTGCTGCATTCATTGGTTGTAACGAGTGGTTATTTCAGTCAAAGTTGCTCTTCTATCAGCTTGAATCAGTCGGCTCATTCTCCTCTGACCTCTAGCATCAACAAGGCAGTTTCGCCCACAGGACTGCCGCATACTGGATGTTACCTTTTCACACCATTCTTTGTAAACCCTAGAAATGGTTGTGCGTGAAAATCCCAGTAACTGAGCAGATTGTGAACTACTCAGACCGGCTCGTCTAGCACCAACAATCATGCCACGCTCTGTATGAAATAGCCCCAAATCGCTCAATTCACATTAAAAAAAAAAAGAATCTCTTTGATCAAGACTTTTTGGATAACCGTTTTTGGACTGAATAGAAAAAAAGTGGAACTCTTTAGAAGGTGCTTTTCCATTATATCTGAAGGTAAGCCAAAACAAAACAGTCAAGCATGGTGGCGGTAGTGTGATGGTCTGTGTCTGCCTCTGCCTTGCTGCAACCATATTCTACTTTCTTCTGAAACATCTGAACTTTGACCTTAAATAGGCCATTGATGCAGAAAAAGCCTCTGTTGCCAAATTAAATCTGCAAAGAGGGTGAAAATCCATCAACAGCAACGAGAGGGTATTCCGATCAGGTTTTTCATGTGGAACCAGGTCGGTTGGAGAGCATTTTTCACCTAATGAAAGAAATTATCATTTGAAAGCTACATTTACCCAGATTGTCTTTGTGTGAATAACTTTGTAAGAACGGGTACCGTAGATCAAGTCAGAAAGCGCTCAAAAAATATACTAAAGTACCTTTGAAGGAGCATTCAGAATGGTTTGTCTGCCATAGTAAAGCTTTTCAAAACAGCTGGGGTTGTTAAAATTTATCTACTTCTTATATAAACATACTACATTAAATCACAACATGGATAAAAAGACATCCTAGATGACTTGACAGCTTAAAAGAAACGAAACGACAGAAAAAACTAAGAAAGTTGGGGAATGCAGGCATCCTGCTGCGCTGCAGGGAATCAAATTTCAGAGAACTAGAGCTAAATTAGCAGGGATGTTCATAAAAAATGACAAAGAATCAAGAAGAGTCCACACAGATCCAAGTATATATATCTATATATATATTTCTTTTATTTTAATATTTAAACCCACTAAAAGTTGTCAATACAACTTTTGAATGAAAGGCACAGGAAAAAATCAGACAACGCTGATATAATACTCAAAGGAAATTACAGTACAAAAGTGGACAGTTAGTTACGCATGAACAAATCCCTCATTTGACCGTCCTCCGTACTGAAATCTAACACAACAAACAAGGAAGGGGTTCAAACAAAAGAAATCCATCAACCAAACAGAATTTATTGCTTTTCCTTATTGACCAAGTGTGAGATCAGCCTTACAGGTCACGCCCAGCTCTGGAAAATAAAACCAATGATGTGCTTTCCAGTTTCCCCACTGAATCTAGTGGCTCATATTCAATGATTTACACTTGTCGCCGTTTCCCGCAACTCCACCGAGCATTTAGCATCAGAACAGTTAACTGAAAGAAATATACTGTTGGTGACAAGATAGTTTATTTTTTCTAGTCCCCCAGGTCATTTAAAGAAACCTTTCTCATAAACTTGATCAAATTCAGCCTGGAGTTACCATTAATGTGTTGGTCCACTGGGTGTAAAATCATCCCAACCTATAAGTGGTGTTTAAATATTGAACAGAAGTTCCTGGGGTGCAAATTCATAAAAGAAACAAAAAAATAAACGAGAGTGCAGGTCAGAAGCTAATTCTGTTGCAGGAGAAGCAATGTTCCGATATCTTCATTCCCTTTTATTCCCGTTGATCTTACAGAGCCTATTTTAATCCACAGCAGAGGGAGAAATCAGACAATAGGTTTCATTTATCAGTTACAGATGGCTTGGGGGGGGGGGGGGGGGGGGGGACACGACAATGTGGTTCTATCCTATTTTCTGGTTTAGATTTATTCTAGAATCATCAACAAAAGTTTAACAGATAATTTAATAATCCTGCTAGACAAAGACTATGGCTATTTTTGTCTTAGACGCCTCTGATTTTGGTTCTTTAGGGATAGATTATCAGCATCCACACTCGTCAGCTCAAAAAAAAGTGTTCTTTCATGCAGCTGTGGTGGGAAATAACTGGTAGGAAGGGTGTGTAAACTCTGGGGTTCTTATTACAAACCGCCTCTTTGGTATAGGCACATCTGCATTAAGGGACCTCCAAAGTCCAATTATCGCTGCCTTTCCCCCCCCGTGAGCAGCTGTCTTACCATTTCTGGTTTCTATTAAAGAAATCAAATAATAATAGTAACACACACACACACACACACACACACACACACACACACACACACACACACACACACACACACACACACACACGCGCGCGCACAAACACACACACGGACGGACACACACACACGGACAAGAAAAATGATTGCCACAATCCAGAAACCTGGAAATAAGAGTGATTGATTTGAAATTATATTTGTGTAGCTGTCAAGGGTTTTCCTCCGTCCCACACCAGGAGAGTCTTGCTACTTCCACCTTCCAGGCAGCAATGCTACAGAACGATTAGAGAAGAAAAGCCATGGCACAGCAAGAAAAAAAAAAAACCCACAGCTGGTCCAAAAGATCCAATTCATCTCTAGAAAACGAAAAATAAACCCCTCCAAACTTAAAGAAGAGGAAATCTGAGACGGGTTTTGCTTTCTATAACATGAAACGGACATCAGCAGGGCTGAGATGGTGCTGCTCGGATGGTTAGCCCTGCTCCAGTGAGGGATGCGTTCAGCAGAGCGCCGGAGGAGGCGGCCCACCCTCGGAGCGCAGAGCTTACTTCCATCACCTTGCTTTCTTGGCTCTAGCAGGAATTTTGTACCCTTGCTACACAAAGGAGCAACGTCAAAGTAAAAAGCTAGAGCTTTAACAAATCTGCTTTGAAGTTTGGATTCTCACACTTCCTGATGCAAGACCTTCCTGTTCCAGTGCACAAAGGCAGCAAATGACATCATGTACAAGAACCAGGACCTCAGGAGTCCGGAGATGAAGAGTACAAAAGCCAGTCTCAGTGCGTCGGGTCAACGCCGACTCCGTGCATTACCTGGCCAGAGAAGAGGAGGAGGAGGCGGCAGCAAGCCGTGTGAGGTATTCACGCAGTTCCTTAGCCGCCTGAAAGCGGCCGTAGCGCTTTTTGGGTTTGGTGCACTCATCTAACAGAGCCTCAAGATGTCCATCTTTGGCTATGTGAGAGGGTGGGTCATGGAGGAGGCCTCCGGTGGTGCCCCGCCATGTGGAATACCTCGACAGCAGGTTCTGGCACACAGCGTAGTAGTTGTGGTCCACGGTGACCCGGGAACAAAGCGAGTCCTTTGAGAAAGACAGACAGGCCTCCCTGTCGCACTCCTCGAAACGGCTCTCGTACCAGACGTCATGGTTCTCTGGTTTATCTGCAGGTGGAAAGAGGCAAAAGTTTAAGAAATAAAACAAAGTCCAAATAAAGTCAAGAATCTGGTGATACGATGTACATCACTACAGGGGAAACCGTGCTACACATTTCCTCTCCATTACATGCTTGCTTATAAGAGAGT